AGTAAAATATCTGAAAACAGTAAAACAATTGGCTGTCCCAGTCATCCAGAGTCTAGGGTGACACCTTTAGATTTCAGCCTGTAGTGAATTAAAGAAGATGAAACCTAATTGTCATTGTACAAGAAATACAACGAAATTTCATTTGGCATCATCTTTGCAGCTGCTAATATGGTCACAAGAAAAAAAGTTAAAAGGTGATATAAATAATAAAATAGCTATAAAACGCTATTAATACTCTATTAAAAGTGCAAAAGAGGATTTGTTAGAATGAGTTCCGTAAACTGGGAGTGTCATGGTTCCTGTAGCACACTCTTTACAGCCATGAGGAAAAAGCCATGTTTTAGTCTGTTGGTACGGGCTCCCATGACTCTGTTACCCCATTTCCACCAAACCGGTTACAGTGCTACTTCGGAGCCAGAGCCTGACTTAGCACCAGTTCTCTGTGTTTCCACCACCTAAGCACCGGCTCCAGGCTGTCAAAACTGTGCTGAGGGCAGGGTTATTGTGACCAACAAGACCGATGGGAACACAGAATGGGACACACAAGCAGTGACTTGTGTCGTTTTTCACCAGGACGTCCCTGGTCTGATCGCAGATGTATTAGAATGACTCCCAGGACACACAGACGTTTTGCACAAACTGTTGCACGCTGAAATCTGGTACAGCTGTGTCCCACCAGAAGCACCTCAGTGGTGGAAAACAGTACTTTTATACCTTCCAAGTACTGCGGTATTTGCCCTTAGAAATGAGGTCTTTTTTGTGAAAAACGGAGCGCACCTACATGCACTGTTTGTTCCCCTCATAGAAAAGTCTGCATGAGAAAAAAATGACTGGGTTTCATCTTGGACAAATCTGACATTAGAACACCCTAGTTTACTCTTTTTAAAGTCATTTTTGGTCACACACCGGTCTGAGCACCGCAGCCACCAACAGCAGCTACTGCAGCCTGCAATGTGGGGATAAAGGTAAATGATGAAATCACATTCAGTAATCATCAGTTTTCTGAAATGATGACAGTTCTATTGACAGACAAACATGCCCAAACTATAACAGTGTGACATAATAGGCAGTGCTCTTATGAAGCCTTATTGTTATCCTATTGACTTGCATGACCACCTGTTTACTCCTCTTATTGACAACAACTTCACCAGAACCTCCCCCCCTTTTCTTTTTTTCAGGAATAACCAACTAAGTGATCTACCATCTGAAATGAAGAACTTAATTAAGTTACGCTCCATTATCCTTAATTACAACAGGTNTTTTCTTTTTTTCAGGAATAACCAACTAAGTGATCTACCATCTGAAATGAAGAACTTAATTAAGTTACGCTCCATTATCCTTAATTACAACAGGTAAGTCACTATTTCAGATACAATTCATCTTCACATTAAGTCCTCCTTGTCTTTTGCAATCTGTTTTAGTGGGCCAGGAGTTCATATATAGTTCATGTAACTACCCAACTCCCATGTTAATTACTGCAAATGTCTAAAAAGGCCCCTTTCTCTAACAGTCACATGCAGAATATGCTCAGACTGAAATCACACCGACATGTGCCGAGTGCAGCCAACTACTGGATCATTCCACCTCAATTCACCGAATTTTTAAAAAGTTGACACTCGCCCATCTCATATTTGTCAGATTGTTTTGTCTGCATACATATGTTATTAAGTAAAGCGTATAAAATCTGGGGTCATAGGCTCTTATGGTACCATTTTTCATAACATTGTTTGAAAGACTGAGTTGAAAAAGCATGATTTTTCTTTTAGCCCCATGGCTATAGAAGTCTTCCGGTTGGGACCACTATTGGTATGGTTTCACTTATTGTACCTTCTTAATGATTGTTCTAATCTTGGCCATAAATGCAAACATGTTCATTTCAGTCATTGTTTTTCATAAATTATACCTCTGACTGGCACTGTACTCTACATTTTTAAAGCACAGGAAAAAAAATTATATATGTCATATGTACAGCAGAAACCAGAAGTTTACACTGTATAAAAAGACTCATAGGCTGTGTTCAAAATCACCCACTATACCCTACATAGTGCACTATATAGGGCGTTCGCCATTTTGTAGTGCTGTCCGAATGTTAAGGTACAAATGTTACACCCTATATAGTGCACTCAAAATATCCCACAATGCACCGTGAAAAAAAGTGTGCAGCCGATGGTCACTCACCAAGCAATATGGACCATCATGCATTGTGAGAAAGGAAATGCAAACTAGATGAACAAGAGCATGAAAACTTGTCATTTCCCATTAATGTTTTGTTGAATTTTATTTCACCCGTTTCTTAGCTTTGCAATAAACTGTGAATTTGATGTATTTGTACTACACTGGTACAGCAAAAATCATGGCTAGCGAGCAATGTAATTAATAGCTTGAGTAGTGTCCGACATGTTACTTTGCCAAAGTGCTCCCTACGGTGTTCACTATATAGTGGTCCCTATATAGTGAGTTGGGAAAAGGGAGTAAGTGGATGATTTTGGACACAACTATAACCTTTCTTTTTCTCACTATTTGACATTAAATGTGACTAAACTTTTCCTGTTTTTGGTCAGTTAGGATTACCAAAATTATTTGTGTTTGCTAAACACCAGAATAATGAGAGAGATTTTTTTTTTTTTAGATGTTTTTATGACTTTCTTCAAAGTCAGAAGTTTACATACACTAAGATTACCATGCCTTCAAACTATTTGGGAAAGCCCAGATGATGATGTCATGGGTTTGGAAGCTTTTGATAGGTTAATTGCCAACATTTGAACTAATTGGAGGGAGTCGAGATAAGGGAGGTGGAGAACTGGTTGGGTTGGACATAGCAGATGGAGACCAGACACACAATACATAGGAGAACAATGAAAAAGTTTGGAGATCGGTGAGGCCAGTGACTGCAGATCAGAGCTCCAGATCTAGAGATACCTGCAGAGAGAACAAAACACAAACTACGGGAGAGAGAAGACAAGAAGTTAGTGACAATCCAAACCTCTAGCAACATAACTAAGGTGATCCTGAGCTGCCCTAACTGTAAGCTTTATCAAAGAGCTAAACTTTAAGTCTAATCTTAAGAGTAGAGCAGGTGTCTGCCTCCTGAACCAAAACTGGGAGCTGATTCCACAAAAAAGGAGCCTTGTAACTAAAGGCTTTGCCTCCCAACCTGGTTTTTCAGAAGACTTGCCCTGTGTGAGTTAAAGGACATATCCTGGTCAAAAATAACTCCAAGGTTCCTCACAGTTTACAATAATATCAGTTTTATCTGAATTTAAGGGAAGAGAAATACAAGTCATCTGGGCCTTTATGTGACTAACTGATTCATTCTATCTTGGTTAGATAATTTAACTGGGTGTCATCTGCATAACGGTGAAAATGTATTCAGCATTACCTCAAAATATTGCCTCATAGAAGCATGTACAAGGTAAATAATATTGGTCCTAGCATGGAACCCTTACATTTCTGTGCAGATAGTCACATCATTGGCTTGCAACAGATTTTTCAAGATTTTTTTTAAACATAAAGGGGGAGGTTGGATATGGATCTATATTTGGCTAAAACACCTGGATCCAGAGTAGGCTTTTTCAGTAGTGGTTTGATTACAGCAACCTAAAAGCCTGTGGTATGTAGCCTGTTAATATAGAGAGGCTGATGATGTCTCATAATAGAGTTTTAGATAGAGGAAAGTCGTCCTTGAGCAGTCCAGTGTTGATTGGGTCTAACAGACATGTTGCTGGTTTAGAAAAAGTGACAGCCAGCGTAAGCTCAGAGATTTACAGCAGAGAACTAGTCCAAATATAAGTATGGTCCCTTGGACACCTCCCGAACTGCTGCACCTAAGGTCATGTTCACAAGATTTTCTCTAATAGTCAAAACTTTACTTATAAAGAAGATCATGAAGTTATCACTACTGAGTTCAAAAGAAATGCAAGGCTTCACAGAGCTGTGGCTCTTTGTCAGCTTGGCTACAGTGCTGAAAAGAAACCTGGGGTTGTTCTTGTGTTCCTCTATTAGAGATGGATAATAAGCAGTTTTCATTCTACGGAGCACTTTTTTATGTCAGTCATGAAACTGTCTTTTCAGGCCAAGCCAAATTCTTCTGAATTTGTCGAATGCCACTATCTTTTCAGTATTCATGAAGTCTGCTTTAAGAAGCATATTTTTTGAATTATACCATTGGGCTACTCTACACAATAACTACCAGAATACATTTTTGTGTTTTCTAATTTGGGTTTAAAAGACTAAGTGTAAGACTTTCAAACAAGTTATAACAAAATTGCAGTCTTTGGTTGATAAGTTTGAGTGGAAGATTGCTGCCAATCTTCCCGTTCTGCCTGTACTTCTAGGCATATGAAATTATATGACTGGGAAAACATACAGTAAAGTTCATCACATATAGATGGAGAAATGCACAGTTTTTCACTGCTTGCCTTGGAATTTATCTCCTACTGCCTCAGGCAGGTATGTTATACTCACATGGAGTCAGCAAAATTATACAAACATGAGGTAAACTGCACTAAAATCACTTTATGCCAGCATTGCTCACTAACTCTGTACTTGCCCTTGAATAATTTTTCCCCTACTAAAAAGTACAAGCAAACCAACTGTACATCTAACCCTACATCAACTCACTGAAAACGTGTTGGTACTTTAGAAATGTACTTTCTCTTGAATCAATAAAGATGTCTTTCCACAATTTACAGTCTTTGTGCTGAACCATAGCCACATGGTGCATTGAAAATTAGGCAACTCCCACTTTTGGACATCTACAGGCAGATGGCACGCATTCTCCATGATAGCACACCACAATCAGTTTATAGGTCATAGCTGGAGGAGTGGGAATGTATGAAACAGAATTAGTTGAATGGAAAGCATTTACAGTGAATCACTCGGTTGGACTGTCCATCTTATAGTTCATGCTCTGTGTTTTTGTACCGATCACAGGTTCAAGTCCTTCCCTGAAGTCCTTTATCAGGTCCTTTCCCTAGAGACTGTGTTGCTTGGTAATAACCAGGTGGGTGGAGTGGACCCTTGTCGTCTGATGAAACTGGTTCATCTGTCAACACTGGATCTGTCAAACAATGACCTGCTGAACATCCCTCCTGAACTGGGCCTGTGTACTAGCCTTAGGTAAGGAGCACAGGCTACATATGCTCTTTTGTCTTATTCCAGCATGTGTTTGTGCCTGAACTCCACCACTGCAGCACATCACCAGCTGCTGTTAGCAGTGTTCATGTGTAACTGACCTCTTTAGTTATCCATTTTCATTCAAATTGCACCATTTAATTGTTCAACTTTCTCCTCACTCAGCTGAGCTTTGTGTGAAGTGAGTGCCTATTCAAAGCACAGTGAATGCATTCTATAAATCGTATAATGCGTAGTGAAATGCATTATTCACATGTTATAGAGAGATAGATATATATGAATATATATGTCTTCATTTTCAGTTTTAAAAAATTATGAAGGTTGAATAAAATAATAGTAAAATCCATGCATTTAATATTTGAAGGTCTGTGTTGTCCCTCAGGTGTCTCAGTCTGGAGGGTAATCCTTTCCGCACACCTAGAACAGCCATTGTGGCCAGAGGAACGGATGCAGTGTTGGAGTACCTGCGCAGCCGCATACCTACATGATCCAGACCTCACCTGAGAGAGGTCCGCCACCATGATCAAGATGCAGCCTTTTTGGATCTGCCATTTCATAATTTTTATGAATTTTAAACACTTATGCAATTAAAAGTTCGCCTTTTTGTGTAAAAATTGAAATGACATCACACAGTCAGCTTTCAGAAAATGACTGAATTTCAGTTTCAGCTGGTCTGTATTAGATGGATGTGTGTTGGAACTTGATTCATATTTTTGGATAATCATATACAAAGTGATGCCTACAGCTGTGATTGAAATTATTGCCAAGGGCACCTCTCTTAATAAAGCAGTGTGCAATAATTATGAATAGTGTGAAGTTATTAATGATGGACTAGCAACAGTTCATGTTCCAGTTTAAATCTGCAGGTCATTTTTACTACCTCAGTTACACACATGGACAAAATTGTTGGTACCCCTCAGTTAATGAAAGAAAAACCCACAACAGTCACAGAAATAACCTGAATCTGACAAAAGCAATAATAAATAAAAATTCAATGAAAATTAACCAATGAAAATCAGACATTGCTTTTGAACCGTGATTTAACAGAATTATTTTAAAAAATAAACTCATGAAACAGGCCTGGACAAAAATGATGATACCCTTAACTTAATATTTTGTTGCACAACCTTTTGAGGCAATCACTGCTATCAAACGATTTCTGTAACTGTCAATGAGACTTCTGCACCTCTCAGCAGGTATGTTGGCCCACTCCTCATGAGCAGACTGCTCCAGTTGTCTCAGGTTTGAAGGGTGCCTTCTTCACACGGCATGTTTCAGCTCCTGCCACAGATGTTCAATAGGATTTAGATCAGGGCTCATAGAAGGCCACTTCAGAATAGTCCAGTGTTTCCCTCTTAGTCATTCTTGGGTGTTTTTAGCTGTGTGTTTTGACTTGCGACTGAGACCAAGCTTTCTGACACTGGGCAGCACATTTCTCTCTAGAATACCTTGATAGTCTTGAGATTTCATTGTACCCTGCACAGATTCAAGACACCCTGTGCCAGATGCAGCAAAGCGGCCCCACAACATAACAGAGCCTCCTCCATGTTTCACAGTAGGGACAGTGTTCTTTTCTTGATATGCTTCATTTTTGCGTCTGTGAACATAGACCTGATGTGTCTTGCCAAAAAGTTCCAGTTTTGTCTCGTCTGTCCAGAGGACATTCCTCGAGAAGCTTTGTGGCTTGTCAACATGCAGTTTGGCAAATTCCAGTCTGGCTTTTTTATGATTCATTTTCAACAATGGTGTCCTCCTTGGTTGTCTCCCATGAAGTCCACTTTGGCTCAAACAATGACAGATGGTACGATCTGACACTGATGTACCTTGACCTTGGAGTTCACCTTTAATGTCTTTAGAGGTTGTTCTGGGTTCATTTGTTACCATTCGTATTATCCGTCTCTTCGATTTGTCATCAATTTTCCTCCTGCGGTCACGTCCAGGGAGGTTGGCTACAGTCCCATGGATGTTAAATTTCTGAAAAGTGTGTGCAACTGCAGTCACAGGAACATCAAGCTGCTTGGAGATGGTCTTATAGCCTTTACCTTTAACATGCTTGTCTATAGTTTTCTTTCTAATCTCCTGAGACAACTCTCTCCTTCACTTCCTCTGGTCCATGTTTAGTGTGGTACACACCATGTCATCAAACAGCACAGTGACTACTTGTAACCCTATAAATAGGCCGACTGACTGATTACAAGTTTGTAGACACCTGTGATGCTAATTAGAGGACACACCTTGATTGAACATGTCCCTATGGACACATTATTTTCAGTCTTTTCTAGGGGTATCATTATTTTTGTCCAGACCTGTTTCATGAGTTTATTTATTTTTAATAATTCTGTTGAAACACGGTTTGAAAGCAATGTCTGATTTTCATTGGTTAATTTTCATAGAATTTTTATTTATTATTACTTTTGTCAGATTCAAGTTATTTCCGTGACAGTTGTGGGTTTTTCTTTCATTAACTGAGGGGTACCAACAATTTTGTCCACGTGTGTAAGTGCTTCTCAGAACACAGAGACATTGAAACTATAAAACCAAAATTAGTTGTCTGCTTATTGGCAACGAACATTATACTGGTAACTCTCATAGAGCTGTGTTTATGGCATAAAAATAACTATGAGAGTAAAGAACACGCATCAACTTTATGAATATAGTAAAAAAAAAAAAAAATACATACAAGTCTTTGGGTCCACTGTTTGTGAATTAAAGTTTGCTGCTCTTTTTTCGCTTTTTGTCATATATGAATCAGACTGGAAGAGCAACATAATTCCGCACCATGGTTTATGTGCTGTTATGTCTTTTGTCTTTCAAGTAGCAAGTAGACACAGTCTCTGTCAGGTAGAAACTAATACAGTTAGAAACAAACATCACCAAATGATTGTTTATTGTTCAACTAAATTGCACAGACATAAAAACATCATAATCTGGCCATGACAGACACAAAGATAAAGACAAATGGAAAACAGAAACTACAATGTTGGAATTTCATATAAAATGCCACAAATACATACTAACAATCTGAAGAAATGCTGAATCATTTAAGCACTCCCATGCAACTACAGGTCAACACACAACTTGTTCCTACTGACCCTAGAACCTTATATTCTCATTAAAATAAGCAGCTGTGTGTGTGTGTGTGTGTGTGTGTGTGTGTGTG